GGCGGAGCGGGCTGCCTGCCCCCCTGGCTGCGGCGGCGCTGGAGCTGCTGGGGTTCGTCCTCCGTGTGTGTTGGGAGGCCTGGGAGTCGCTGCGGTTGGCGAGGGTTTGTCAGAATGTCTCTTGGTGCCCCTCGGAAGGAATCGAGTCTCACTCTCTGAAGGAACGTTCCGGATTTTTATTTTTCTTCCACAGGATTCATGGAATGATTCAGCCCTTTCCTGCCAATCTGCTAAGAAATATTCTCTAATCACTAAATTCTCTGCTCTGTTTTTTAAATCTGTTATTCTGAGCAATGAGTCTTCAAAAGGAGTTGCAGATCAACCACCTGAATTAGAAATTATAATTGGTTTTCTGTTACATTTTTTACTGACAGCAGTTTTCTATTTGATATTACAGCAGAGGTCTGGCAGGATTAAGGGGTGGCCCTGATACATGTTTGAATGTTGCTTTGCAGAACCTTTTTGAGGTTGTGTCAGAATGGAACGTCAGTTCATGGGGAAGATCAACAACTACTGCCAGATCAACAATCTTAAACTGTCTTATGACGATGTCGGTATGGAAGGCTCATCTCACGATCCCACGTAAGTTCACTAATGCATGTCAATAAACAGAAGGACTCTTCCTTCAGTGAGCCAACTGGGTAAAGCTCACAATCATAACAGTTAATTACGGAAGTGTAGATGTGGCAGGAGAGCTGGGTGAAGCCACACCTTGAGTGGAGTGGGAAAGTTACCATGTGACAGAGTTTGAGGAGAAAACTTACTTCGAAGTTGACAGCCCTCTTTTGGAACGCAACAGCAGAGCACATCTTACTGGTAGCTATATACTAAGTATGTTCTGCATCTGCCATTAAATATCTCAGGAAGTGGGGTGGGTTGCAGCAAGTTTGACAATTTTATGATCTATGCCAACTTAGGTGCTTAGATTTCTCGTTTTACAAAGCATGGAAATTGTTTGTAATTTATGTTGTTAATTTCTAACGATAAAGGTTGGTTGTATATTAATTGTTTGGGCATCAGCATGATTTATGTGTAGTTAATTTTTTAATATCTTGTACAAGAGAAGAAGAATCTCTTGCTTAAGCTGTTTTGTTTCTGCTTTTAGAGACAATTGCAAGTGATGTTACATGGTTTATTTTGTAACACAAATATTATGTTTTGCTAGTTTTTTCTCTGCCAGAGATCATTGACACTTGAGATCTACCATATTTTTTCATGTGATTTTTAAATTTTTTTGCTAATTTGCTTGAATAAAAGACTTATGCTACTAATGAGTATGTAACGTCTTCCCTGTTGCCAGCCGACACTGTCTGTGCTGACTTATTTGTAGGCCTGACCATAGTCCCAGAATAAATTAATAGGTATTATCTGGGTATCGAATGTTAATCACTTACCTTATTTTTTTATCGTATGCTGCTTATGTAATTCTAAAGAGTAACCCTTCTCACAGCAGTGGCCACAGCTTGGGGTAGTGGTTTTAAACTGAAAGAGGGTAGATTTAGGTTAGATATCAGGAAGGGTAGTAAGGCACTGGAATAGGTTGTCCAGGGAGGTTGTGGAAGCCCCCTCCCTGGAGGTGTTGAAGGTCAGGTTGGATGAGAAGTGGAGAATGAAGCTGAAATAATTAAATAAAGTGAATTTCTGAGGTCATTCCATTGTGTGAGACAGACTGTCCTACAGAGATACTCATGATATTAGACCTAGACTGTTTCTTGTGTCAGCCTATCTTGTTTACTTTGAGCTTGTGTATCTGTATGTTCTGCTGCAATCTTAAGTACAGATGCACCCCAACGTTATAACAATGGTCACTTTAACTTGATTCAAGTTTGTGCTGCTGGTAAAAGCAGAAATCTGGTTGTTTGCTTCTCTGTTGCCTTTTGTGCAAAGGCAGTAGCAGAAACATTAAGGATTTTGCAGCTGTAGGGCACGTTGCATCTGGGTAAGAACAGATGCAGCTGAAAACCAGGGTTCTGTATCTAGAGTTACATCTATTTGTATCTATTGCCAGCTTCTGTTGAGGTTCTCATCTACCAGTAGCCCAAGCTTTTTTCTTGCAGGGCTGCTCTCAATCCTGTAATACCTCAATTTGTATTGATACTGGGATTACCCTGACCCAGGTAGAGGAGCTTGCACTTGGCCTTGTTGAACTTCATGAAGTGCACATGGGCCCACTTCTCAAGCTTGTTCAGGTCCCTCTGGATGGCATCCTGTCCCTCAGGTGTGTCAGTTGCACCACTCAGCTTGGTGTCATCTGCAAACTTGCTGATGGTGCCCTTGATCTCACTGTTTGTGTAATTGATGAAGGTATTAAACAGTACTGGTTCCAACATGGGCCCCTTAAGGACACCACTTGTCACCAGTCTCCATCTGGACCTCAAGCTGTTGACCACTACCCTCTGGTGTGACCATGCAAGCAATTCCTTATCTACCAAGCAGTCCACCCATCAAATCCATCTCTTTCCAGTTTAGAGAGAAAGATTTTTTTGAGACCATGTCACTGCTGTATGGAAAGCAGTGCATGCACAGTTGTGCAACACAGGGAAGACATCAGTGGTTGAGTGTGGAAGGGCAAGACTGAGGGTTTTTTGTTTGCTTTTCGGGACTGCCTTTAAATTCATGAAGCACCAGACACTGTTTTTGCACTTATTAAATAGTGTATGTAGCAGAGTATCAAAGGGGAGTGTAATGTCATGCCTGGATCCATGAAATCAAGATTATCTAATCTTTCCTCTCCATACAGTTTTGCAGAGCTGAGATGTGTCCTGGTGTTGGGGCTTCGCAACCTTGCCTGTAACAATGCTGGCCTTATGCATTCTTTTGCTTTTCAAGATTTAAATAATTGTGCTTTTAAAAAGAAATTAAGCACTTAAAAATACTGTTAGAACTAATAAAGTACATGCATTTGTGATGAGGGAGGAAACATAAAAAAAAATAAATTATTCTAAAGAAACATGATCGTCAGGAATTCGATATACTAAAAACACATGAATACTTAAATATCTCAACACTTAACTTACATCACTTTGTGAACAGTAAAAATGAAGTTGAACTTGAGAAGGTTATTAAGTGTGTATGAGACATAATGTAACAATGTTTTAGAAAAGCTTTTCTATTGCAGGTTCATAGTTAAGGTTAAAATAGGCGAAATAGAATATGCTGAAGGCACTGGTAAAAATAAAAAGGAAGCAAGAGCAGTAGCAGCAAAAAAATCCTGGGAAATGATTAGAAAACAGGTGAGTAACCTGTAGTATTTACATTTAAAAATACATTTTTTTGGCTTATTTGCCTAGTAAAGGTTGAAGTTTAATCTCTAAAAGTAGCCAATAAAATAGAATTGTTTTGTTTAATTTGGAAGAGTTTCTAATTATTTATTTAAGTTGTCTTTGTTTTGTCTGATTCAGTGCTTTTCTACTTTTTACCACTGAACTAATGGCTTAATGTTCTACTATAGTGTTGGTATGTGGTATTGAGAGTATTTCCTCCTCTGCTGTTATAGGATATAAGGAAATTTATTTGCCTTTTCTAAGCTGCCTTGCTGTATCCAAAGTGAGCAGTGTTCTTGTTCTGTTTTGACAACTGTTCAGGAATTTGATGTCTTTAAAACATTTGCAGGGCATTGTTCACTGTCTCTGCTGCCACTCTGCTTATAAAATTGCTTACTTGCACTTCATCCGATTTGTCTTTGTTTTCTTGTTATTGTATTTTTTACTGTATAGCTGATTTGAGGCTCTTTATCCTGACTAGATTTAGTTAAGGTTTGATTTTCCTTTGTTTTCTGCCCTGTGTTTTGTGGTAGCCATTTTTTATTTTTATTTTTGAGTCTGAATGCTTCTTGGCAGCTTTTGAGTGAAATTTTTCCTTAGCTGTTTCCGTATGCTCTTTACTGTGTCACCATCATTGATCTAACACAATTGCTGCATGTTTGCTAATATATTATTAAGGCTGCCTAATCATGAGACAGCTGAAAAATCCTGCTTTCCCCTCTTGTGCATGCCCAGGAGCATTTGCACCCTTTGCTAATGGCAGCAACAGCAACATTCTGTTGCTATTGCTTTTCTTGGCTGGCCAGGTTGTGAGAAAACTGAGAAGGTAGCATTAGATTGTTTGTTGGGTTGTGGCTTTTTTATGAGACATTTCACAGCTCCTTGCCTGTCTTGTCTTAAGGGAGGTAGGAGGAGACATGGTGATAGGTTGCTAAAGACATAGGTACAATACTTGGAAAACTAGATTTACATTTCTTTGTAAATTGAAAATGTAATAATTCTGGTTTGGGATAGCTGCCCTTTGCCACAAGGGACTCTGTTAATACAAACTTGGTATTTCCTAAAAAATGTTTTGAGATGCTGACAACCCTTGCAGCTGTATTAGATCTCACAGACTGCTTATCTTAACCTACTGATTAAGCTTTAAGTTTTTAAGTTACCTATTTTATTTGTTCTATAGTTAGAGAATTCTTCAAATATGCCAACTGCATTACCTCTACAAGGCAACGACTATGTCAGCCTACTAAATAGGTATTCACAAAATACCTCGGAAGTAGTTGATTATCCTAACAAAAGAACTGGAGATGGTCATAAACCCACGTAAGATGTGCTTTGTCTTCATACTTGCTTTTAATACTTCTCTGTGTTTGCTAAAACTACCCTTAGTTACCCTGCGTAGTGTTAGATGAAGGTTGTTAAGGAGCTGAAGTATAAGGTGTGGGAGGAGAGACTAAGAGGACTGAGTTTCTTCATCTGGGAGAAGAGATGGCATGATGATAAAATGGCAGTCAGCGCTGACAAGTCATCAGTTATCTTGACTGTAGTTCTGGCACCTTTGTGGACCTCTTAGCATGTATTTTGGAGACCCCTAGGAACCAGGTGCCACGAAGAGCCTGTTAGTATCCCCTCTGTATTTACTGCAGTCAGGGAGTTGAAGAAACATTCCAGTTAATGACAGATGAGGCATTATTAAAAATATCTACGTATTTTCGGTCCATATGATACTATGCTTTGAGGATTTCAGCCTTAAGAAGTGCTAAATATTCTCTATCTGATAACTGGCCATCTTGAAGGCATGTCAGATAAATTATCTACCTTTATTACTTAGATTAAATGTATATTGGAAATACTGTCCTGAAGATGAGTATTTCAGATTTCCAGTCTACAATGTCAAATTGACTATAGTGTTTAAAATAATTACATTAGGACTTGTCACATGAGATTTAATACTTCATTCCCTGCTGTATTTTACAGGTTTTATTGTAGGTGTATGATTAATGGTAATGTGTATGGAACTGGCACTGGACCTTCTCTAGCTGTTGCAAAACAAGCTGCTGCAAAAGAAGCATGTGACAGGCTAACTGTTGAAGGCTTTTTAACAGTATGTACTATATTTAGCCTTAAGATAGAAGCTTAATTCTTGTATCTTTAATCTTTGAGCAGGTATCCTCATTGTATTTAAAAGCATATTCCATGAATGAAATGATCCATATTTTGGTGGGTTGGTTGGGCTAAAGGATTCTGTTGGTAAAATTTATGTTTCTATATTAAATTTCTGGATTTAAAAATACTACAGTTGGTATCTCTGTGCATTTCAGAATATAATCTGATATGCTGTCATTCAAGAATGCACATACATTAAGCATTCCTGAATCCTGACTGCTCTCTTCTGTGTCTCTTCTGTGAAGTGTCAAGATGACTTGCTATGGAAATAAATCTCTTGCTGCCTTCTATGGATCAAAAATCCATTGTGAAATATGAGAAAGGCAAAAGCAGGAGTGAGAATCAACAGGACTTGCCTTCTGTAGTATTCCAAGGCAGTCTAGTCAAGCAATTGCCAACACCATCCTCTGGCAAGCAGAGATGTTGTCTTTGTGTTGGTGATCATATTTCCATATGTGCAAATAATGATCAGAATTGTAATAGTGATCTAAACTCACTTCTGAAATGCACAGAACAGTACATATGAATTAGTTTAAATTAAGTATAGTTTAAAGGGAAGGAAGGCAGTACAGGGGAGAAATCTTATTTACTTTAAGTAATTTTTCATTAACTGGCTGTTTACTGTGAATTTTAAATGCTTCATTTACTGTTGTTTTTAAGCCTGTTACGGTTCTAGGATCCTTCCTTAATATTTTCTTGTATTGCACACTCATGGGTCTTTGCGTTTTCATCAAAGTTTGAAATTTACTACCTCATGCAGATCTTCTGTAGCAGTTATTCTAAAGTTGTGGCAGGTTGTTTTGATTTGGCTTTAATTTTTATTAATTCTCAGTGGTGTTTGTGTAACAAACAAAATGTAACTAGCAAAAAGTAGTAAAATTCAGTAGTCCTGAATTTAAAAAAAATTGGTTTGTTTATTGGCTATCATTGAAACACACACCCTTAAGTTTTTTCTTTTTGTCAGGTTATGGTCTGTAAGAATTGCAGGTGTTGCTTTTAATGTTACATTTGTGCTGTTATGATTATGACATGGGGGAAGAACCTCTACTAAACATTTAGGATTAATTTTTTAGTCAACCGCAATTTAGTAATTCAGGTTTTGCAGGGTCTTCACACTGAAGTAACTGTCTTTTTGTGCAGATTTTCAGTTTTGCTGATTACATGTACCAAAGCCTACATATGTCTTGTTTTCAACACAGACAATTATTTATGCAGTAAACCCTGATTTTTAATATATCCCAGACTTTAATTCTGCAAATGTATAGTCTCAATAGGAGAGGGAAAACACTCCCTGTGACAGGGCCCTGTGTTTCACTTTTTTGGGTGGAAGTCAGGCAGATGGATTTCTTCAGCAGAGCTTTGAACGTTCAGTGCACTTAACTTCCACTTAGAACCTTGTAATCTTCCCTCCCCCTTCTTTGAATGGCATGTTTTGTACTAGGGATTTTTCAGTGTGATTTTGTTAACCATTCTTGATTTTTCTTTTTTTCAGATAGAAGGTAACAAATCGAACAGCAATTCTACATTTAGCAAAAATTGTAATTCCTCTCAAGTGCTGGATGAGTCTGACTCAGAGTAAGTTGGGCTTACAGATAATGTGATAATAAAAGTATTTACTAATTGTAGAGGATCGTGATCTGGTTCTAAATAAAATTTGTCATAGTTTCTTTATTGCAGTATAACAGCATTTAATCTTAGCTTTTATTTCCTAGAGTTCTGTGCAAAATTTGTTATACTTGTGTTATTTTGAGTTCTTAAGGGTTAGCTTATAGTAATTTTAGAGCTTTCTGATGTATTTATATTTTCCCATGATCAGTTCTTTCAGAAGCATTTTCATGGTGATGTAAATGGTGTAATTTACCTCGTTCAGTAGTGTTATTTAATATTTTTTTAAATTAACACTAATTTTCCTATTTTGACACTCTGTAAACTCCATACTTGCAGTACTTTTCTGTGCTCCACATTATTTTTCGTGGTGGTGGTGGAGGTGGTGGTGTTGGTGGTGGTTTGGTGTTTTTTTTTTCTTTCCATAAGTCTTTCCACTGAAGGGGAAGTTTGCTTGCTGAAAGAAAATGAACATGCATAAAGTTTCAGTTCTGATTTGGGAACCCTACATCAAGCATTTTGTGTGAAGCAGTTAATTTGACTGTACTGCTGCTACTGCTTCTTTTTATGTTCCTTGTGCAATTGTAAAGCTATGGTAGTATGCTATGTCAAATGCCAGAGATGGGTGCACTGCCTTGAAATGAACATCTGTATTTAACCTATTTAATTAAAGGATATAATAGAATATATATATAATATCTAGATATCATGGTACCATGTAATTGAGGAGTATATTACAAAATATTACTTTTTTATTTGTTTTCAGCATTACGTTTTGTAATCAGTCATGATTGTTAATGCTTTCTCAGGTTTTGCTTTTTTAAAATGTGTATTTTGCTTATCCTTCTTTTTTTCTTTTGCCAATAATTTTATGATTGTGGTACTTTCACTAAAACCTAGTGTATTATTTTCCCGTAACAGTAGTGTTTCCTTCAGAGACTCAGATTCAGATTTGGTAGAAAACATGAAAGACATGGCAATATGTAAAAAGCCTTCACCTTCTCAGGTATGGTGTGAAAATGTTCTTCCTCATAACTACATTTTAGGCTCTCAGTAGGACAAGCTTCTTGTCAGTGTGTAGCATCAGTTTGTTCCTTTATCCACAAACCCTTGGAAAACACCCATGCATTTTTTCTAAGAATATTCAGTACTTTCTTACTGTTAACCATTAGTCATTTAGTTCTGTACTGTAGACACAATTTATGTATGTGCCGTTGACCAAATGGGCAGTACTCTTAAGAAAGAGGATCACACTTACTTAGCTCATATTTTACTGTGGGAAGAATGATGATGCCATCCATAGCATATGTGAGTTTTTTTAAGCTAAGATATGGCTTAATTCTTATTACAATATTTATCTAAGGTATGAACACATTTATAGAAAATTCCTAGATACATTCTCAGATACATTTTAAAGAACTATAGTGAAAATACTCAGGATATCTCAGTTAGATTTTCTTCTCTTTTTCATGTAGAGAAATGCACAGAATTCTGCCCTGAAACCCAGAAGGTATGTGTTTATTTCTGTGTTGCTATCTCCTATAACTATGTGGCGCATCACTTTAGTGTTGCTATATCTAACAAAGAAATGCCATTATTTCTCACGTTAGAAAAACTGTTCCTAATAAGTTTTGGTTTTATCCTTGTTCAGAAGATTGGCAGCTAATTTTGATAATGCAAGAAAAAAGGAAGAGAAAAAAAGTATGTCAGATTTAGATGAGAGTTTGCCAGATTTGGACACAAGTAGCAGTGAGGAGACTGAAATTCTGCACACCATGAATAAAACGTAAGAAGGATTTAAATTTTTTTAATAAGATCTGTATGGCAATTACAGTATGTAGTGGTCTAGATTTGCTTGCTCATTTATAACAGAATGTGGGAAAATACTCCTGTAAAAATAACTTTCAGAGAAAAGTGATATTTGAGTAGTTGTGTTTGGGTTTTTTTCTGGAGAGTTCAGATACAGTATAGCAACTGACATACAACGATGTTTAATGCTTACAGCCAGAAGTCATTTATGTGAAGATGTGAGCATAGTTACTCTACATGCTTTCTAGGGTCAGTTTCCCTTGTTTTTTTAATCTTCAAGAATATGTATAGGTGTTGAGTGATCCCTGTAGAGTATTGCAGCAGATGTATTAAATCTGTCTGGATTGTTTTTATATCTTGTAAATTTAATGTTAAGAATACTTATGATTTTTTGTTCTGTTGTTTTGTGTTTGGTTTTTTTTTTAAGATTTCTTGATAGTTTTAGAGATATAAAGCTTATTGGTAAAGGTGGTTTTGGAGAAGTTTTCAAGGCAACAGCAAAAATTGATGAAATAACCTATGCAGTCAAACGAGTTCCCTTCACAGAGTACGTACTGTGTATTTATGTCTGTTTTTTTTATTGTAGTATATAATCATGTTTTTAGTACTTTGGTTTATCTCTTTAATAATCGTAGCAGCATTTAAGCAAATTTCATTATTAATTGTCCAACTTTTCCATTAAGCAGTTTTCTTTATTTTTAAGTAAAGCTGAAAATGGTGTGCAACTTTGTTAATTTTTGCATGCACTGGAATAATTTCAGATGCAGCTGTAAAAAAGTAGATTTGTTAGTTCTAATTTCCCAGAACACACTGGCACTCTGGCTATAATATTGCACAATGTGTTTGAAGGAAACTTGCTGATTGATAAAACATTGAAAGCAACAGTGTAACTTTTGTCAGGTTCCACTCATATATCAGTAATGCTTAATAACTATAATTAGAGAAAACTAAGGAAAATGAAAGTAATGTATTTTATGGTTTCTAATTGGAAAATGCTTTACATCTGACCCATGTAGCCATTCTTGTCACCCTGTTTTACTTGTCCTTTACAAATTTCAACAGACAATTATTATCTTTATGTATTTATTTTAAAGTAATTTTCTGCAACCGGTACCTAGTGGAGCATTTTATGGGCAGCTGAAAAACTTGAATTTATTTAAGCTCATCTATTCAAAGTTTCAAGTTGTTGGAGATACTTGTTCCTTACGTTGGGTAACTGCCCTTCAGATTCTTGTGTTCTCAACAAATACATGTCATTTGTATTGCAATCCTGAGAACAATACTAGAAAAGCATTCTACTGATTCTTCAAATAAAGACTGATGGGTTTGAACTTAATTCCCTATGCAATGTTGTAAGAAGTGCAGGCCAAATTTAGTAATACTGCTTCATTTACACTGACTTCTGTGTACGTAAACAAACTTCACAGAGGTGAGAAGTGTGTTTGCTACCTTGTGTTGTGCTACCTAATACAGTTATACATTGCAACTATCTGCTTTCTTCAGCTGACAAAAAAAAGCAGATGAAAGAAATGCCATTTGCAACTACAGTTTTGGAATTGTATGAAGGAAAATATTATGTTCTTTTCCTAAAGGAATGTAAGACTGTTTACTGCTACTTCATAGCATGTCTTTTACTCTGCTTAGTATTAAATTTTTATAGGAAAATGCCATTTGGGTTTTTATATATTTTTCTTTTTTTCCCCCTCCATCCAAATAGTAAGGTAAAACGTGAAGTAAAACAACTTGCAAGACTCAAGCATGAAAACATAGTGCAGTATCACTGGAGCTGGGAAGAGGATTACCATACAACTTCTCAAGACTCAAAGTAACTACAAGATAATAATTTGCACTCACAAACTTGTTTGCCATAGTGGATTTTGTGTTGTAGAAAGAAAAGCTGATGATGGGTTATAAATCATTACACAAATACAAATCCATACACACATACTAACTGTTAGGAAAAAAGGCACAGTACTTCTCAGCAGCAGGTCATATATAAATAAGTATATTTATGTCATATTTTTCGTAATGAATAAGATGGACTCTAATTTTATCTTTCTCTTCTCTCTTAACATACAGAAGTTGCTGAATCTATAGAGGAGTGTAAGAACACAGAACTCAAAATTTGGGTCTAGAATTAACAATGGCAACTAAAAAACTGGCAGTTCTCTGGCAAATTCTTGATGGAAGTTTTCTTTTTCTAGTAGGAGCTGGCGAGCCACTAGCTCTCATAGATTTAATTACTTATCTCTTAGCTGGCATTTTAACTACTATGCCTGAAACATTTTTAGTTGTTCGGAACAGAAATACAAAATGCTCTTTCATTTAGAGGTAGTCTTTCAACACAAAAACTATGAGTTAGCTTATTAAGTTTTCAAAGTTTCTGTGGTGAGCTTTTTTCATTAATTGTTGATAACCTTCAGATAGCTTGCCACGATTAACTTGAGCAGTAAAATATTAATGGAATCAAAATTATGGTTGGCATGGTATGTCCAGTGTGCTCGGTAAATGAGGAATAAAATGAGGGGAAAAAAGTCTTGTGTCAAAACCCAACCATTAATATGTTGGAGACTTGGTATCACTTATGCATTTTATGTTGAACAATTACTGGGTAAAAGACAGAAAGTCTTCAAAGCTGAGGTCCCAGCCTGGAATTCCACAGTGCCCTGACCTCAAGCCTACATGGAGTCCAGAGCCACTTAATGCTTGTTCTTTCAGTGCCTCAGGTGGCTTTAATCCAGGGCACTTAGCTCACACAGTGCAAGTGGGACAAAGTGATATGTATCTCCTACTCTTCATATTGTCCTTCCTCTCACCATGTCTACCCACATCCTGTTCTATGGGCTGATGGTGAGGGAAGTCTTCTGGAAAGTGTGAGGCTGGCAGGCAGGTGAATATATTTAATCTAGATTTCCAGCTCTCAGCAGGGCTTCTGTAACTCCCAGTCTGATGTCAAAGATGGTCACTGCACTACCTTCCTGAAGGGACAAAGCCTGAGAGGAAGGAGAGGAAGGCTAATGCTGTGTCTGTTGAGCAGAATAAAGAATACCTGCCAGGGACTTGCAGCAGTCCTTAGGGGGCAAGATGGGAACCAACTATTTCTTCCTCTATAGGACAAGCCTCTAGATATGAGGGAAGGAAAGAGGTCTAGTATATTTTTTTAAATCAAAGGACTTTGTTTTGGGAAACTCCTATAATAATAATAATTTTTTAAAAGTTTCTTTTTTTAAGAAGAGGAACCTGAAAATTATTTATGATTTGTGAGGAATGGTATCTTGGCAATTTCAATATGGCATATAATTGTCTTTTGCAGGAACAAGACAGAAAAGTTTCTTTTCATCACAATGGAATTATGTGAAAAAGGGACATTGGAAGACTGGATTGAAAATAATAAACAAGCCCAAAATTATCATGAGATGGCACAAGACAAATTTTTACAAATACTGAAAGGAGTAAACTATATACATTCTGAAGGATTAATTCATCGAGACCTCAAGGTAAATAGGATAGGTAATACAATAAAAAAACATCAGTACTTACTGGAATTTCAGAAAACATTGACTTGCTCTAGTCTTTGTTTAGTCTATTATGTACCCTAGTATTGTCTCTGTTCTGATGTTGCTAGAGATTAAGTTTTTTTCAGCAACTGGCTGGACTTCATCCTAAGATCAGAAGGTAAACTGGAGGATGCAATAGTAGTCAATTGTGTGTTACTGGGTCACAACAATGCCTTTAGGAAAAACAAAACAAAACTAAGACAAATTTTTACAAATACTGAAAGGAGTAAACTATATACATTCTGAAGGATTAATTCATCGAGACCTCAAGGTAAATAGGATAGGTAATACAATAAAAAAACATCAGTACTTACTGGAATTTCAGAAAACATTGACTTGCTCTAGTCTTTGTTTAGTCTATTATGTACCCTAGTATTGTCTCTGTTCTGATGTTGCTAGAGATTAAGTTTTTTTCAGCAACTGGCTGGACTTCATCCTAAGATCAGAAGGTAAACTGGAGGATGCAATAGTAGTCAATTGTGTGTTACTGGGTCACAACAATGCCTTTAGGAAAAACAAAACAAAATAAAATAATTAAAAGGAAGAAGGTGAAAGGTTGTGTCTAGGAAGTTTGCTCTTGCTGTACTGTAAAGAGAGAGTTTCTCTATCCTAATGCATAGGGTGTCTGATAACAGCATCCTCCAGTTGCTCTTGTATCACGTATGGGTACAAGTATCAGAGCTACTTTTCTGGATAGAATTTTGGTCTCTAAAAGTGCACAATCATAAAAAGCCTTTATTTCAATATAATGATTATAAAGGACAAGGTTGCAAGCCGTCAGGTCTGATATGTAACAACTCTGTTGTTACGGAGTGTTAAGTCACTTGCTTTGTGAAGGAGGCGTTAAGTGTGTTCCTGAAAACAGCTATAATGGGTAGCAGTAAATGTGGATCTAGGATGCAGTTCTTGTAAACACCTAGAGAGTATTAGAGCTGAAAGGTTAGTAATGTAGGCTACAATAATGTAGCCTAAAATTGATGGACTTCATGAGCCAGAGATTTTTTTTTAATTTACAGTGTAGTTCTAGCTCATGTTCACTTCCCACTCATAGAATCTAGTCTTACAGACGGTTATATTTTCCACAGCTTTTTTATCAGGCTTATTGCTACAATACTGCTCCTTATTGCTACTACAAATATACATTCATTATTTTCCCTAGATGCCTGGGAAAAGTAAGCCTAATAAATGCCCTTGGACCCATTAATTCTTAGCATTTCCCAGTCTATGTGCTTTGTATTTTCTTGTTCCTTCAGTCCTACTTTATTTTCATCTCAGCTCAATCTCCTACTTTCCCCTATTCTTATGAATCTGCTGCCCCAATCCCTTATCCATGGCATCTGGCTGTAACCTGCTTCCAAGTCCTATTGGTGATTTGTCTGTCTGCATCCTAATTTAGGAACTTTTCTCCCCACGTTGATCTGCTGTCAACTTAAATGCGTGGCCATCTGAGATCTGCATGTCCCAGAATCAAATCTGCAGGATAGGTTCAAGCTGAGGTGAATCCTATTTGTGTCTGGTATGAATGGAATCTTTAAGTAGTGTAGTCAGGTATAGGTACTGTTTTAAATGTGTTTGGATGTGGCCAGACTTGAACAGAAAAACTGCACTGGGCGTTCTTGAAACAGAGATCTTTTTAAATACGGTCTGTTCTGGCCTTACAGTCCACTGGAGCTTCTTTGAGTAACAGATGTAATGAGGCTATTTGTTTTGTTTTAATAACATTCAGAAATGTTATCTTCTTTGGGAAATTTAAACCAAGCATATACAGTTCTATTTTTAGTTGCTTACAACTTTGTTGAATTTAAAAATGGGAAGCTCAATGGAAATTTTGAAGAGATACTGAGAGATGCCTGCAGTAAGCCCTAACTCTCCTATGAAGAGAGGCTGATGGTACTGGGATTGTTTAGTTTGGAGAAGTGGAGGCTGAGGGGAGACCTCATTGCTGTCTACAGCTACCAGAAGGGAAGCTGTAATGAAGCAGGCCTTGGCCTCTTTTCCGACATGCATAACAAAAGGACCAGAGGAAATGGCCTGAAGCCGTGCTGGTCAGGTTTAGTCTGGATATTAGGAAGAATTTCCTTACCAAAAGTGTAGTCAGGCACTGGGACAAGCTGTCTGGGGAGGTGGTGGAGTCACCATTCCTAAGAAACGTGTAAATGTAGCACTTCAGGGCATGCTCTAGTGGGGATGGAGGATTTTTTGTGGGTTGTGTTGTTGGGTTTTGTGGTGTGTGTAGTTATGGTTTTGTGGAGGTTAGTGTTTTGTTGTTGTTTCTCCTCCCCTCTTTTCTTTTGGGTGGGAGCTTTTTTTGTTATTTTTTTCATTTGGGTTTTTTTGCTTACGTTTGTTTGTTTTCTATGGGTGGATGGTTGGACTCAGTAATCTTAGAGATCTTTTCCAACCGTCACACTTGTGTGATTCTGTGAAATCTCTAGGTTTAGGACTGAATACTATAAAGCACTTCTAGGTATGCAATGTTATATGCACAATGTGTTTGAAGAGCTTTAAGACAGAACACAGTTATGGCTTGTGGAAAAGAAAAAAAAGTGGCAGTTACTGTGGTACATACTTTTTCCAATTCAGTTTGTGTTTTTAAAAAACAATTTAACTTAGAATTTTCTGTTTCCCACCCATTAGTTTCTTCATGCTAATTCTGTGAACAGATATCAAATTTTATGGGGGGCATTTTTGTGGCAGATTATGCTTGACAATAAACCCTGGTCATATGGTGAATTATTATGATTATTATCTTAAATATATACACAGCCTCAGAATATATTAATATCACGTGACGACAAAATAAAAATAGGTGACTTTGGTCTTGTGACTTCTGCGGATAATGAGAATCTGACTGAGGACAGAGGAACAAGACCATATATGGCACCAGAACAGGTAATTATTATGCTGTATTAGTGTCTCTATCTAGACTTGCATTATAAACTCGATATTTAATGTTTTCAGTCCTAATCTCAGTACTAAACCAAGTTGCCTAAAGTTCCCTGGTACAGCTCTGTAAACGAGGGTAACTGTATTCTGGAGGAAGCTGTCTGCACGTGGGCTGATTTTATTTCACTGTGCTAACCTATGGGGTCTGACACAATTTGAATGTAGTGCCCCTGTTAACAACAGTGTCACGTAAGTCCTTCTATCTGTTTAACTGTTTGTGACAGGTAATGGCATGCCTTATCTGTACAGGTCTGTAGTCTTAATTTCAGCCTGCTTAGCATGACCTAGTAGTCACTAGTTAATGGGTCTGTAGCAGAACAGGTTAACAACTAATAAGATCAAGTAGGGCCAGTCCTGTAGCCTTGGTGAAAAAATTTCTACTGACTTAAAATTTTGCCTTAAGAAGTGCTTTCCAGTTGGATTTGACACTTACATTGTTCTTGTTCTAACCTTTGTAGGTCGAGGCCAGCTACGGAATCAAAGTAGATATTTTTGCACTGGGATTAATTTGGTTCGAAATACTTTGGCCATTCAACTCACGCCATGAGAGAAGTAAAGTATGTATTCTTCACATTAAAAAAAAAGGCCTCACTGTTAGTGTTGTACCTTCCTACTGGTACCACATGCTGATTGCAAGCCAGAAGGAGTCTGTAAATCTAGAGTACTGATGCTACTTACATTTTCCTCTTGATTCATTTCTATAAAGCTCCTAAGTCCTCACACTTTGGTTGAAATGTAATAACTGAGTAATGAAATATTACTGGGTTTATTTCACTTACGTCCTACTGACATACACATGAGCATGCTAAAGAATAACGTATAGCAAAAAAGATTCCAAATTTCTGATAAATCTTTTTGTTTGATCAGAGTATTTGAATTGAGTATTTTTCTATTTAAGAAAATAAAAATTGTGAATGGGAGTTTTGTCTCTGCCATACTCTTCACTGAACAGTGGAGCAAGAACAAAGCTTCTATAAAACTTGCAGTTTTCCAAATGAAAAAAAAAGTAAAAAAAAGTAGTGCTTTGGAATAGGTAGCTTTTATTGAAAAATGTGTTACTCCAAGAACAAAAAACAGTGTTACTCAAGTTATTTTTGAATTTTTTTTTATTTTTTTTTTAATGTATCTCTTGCTTTTTCTTGGTACTTTGCACATTATTAGTGCAACTGCCCCTCTGCTCAAACCTATATATTTGTATTATAGCAATGTGGAGGATGATTACTTTGTCTAAAGTAATTGTAAGATACATGTAACATGGTTGGACCCAGAATCTCCTCAACAGTGTTAGCTTGGTCCTTTTGCCAATGTAAGAAAACCATACCAATGGGTCTGCTCAACCTGCAGGTTCAACCTGGCTCTGTTTACCTACCTTGTAGTGTTTTCTAAGACACCTTGTTTTTGCTCACAGCTGACTGCAAATATGTCCACATTCTAACAGTGTTTACAGTCAAATGGGCAAGACCAATTATTTAGTCTTGTGTACTTAAAGCATAAAAATTTTTGTCTGTAGGCAGATGGGCAAATCTTGTGGATCAAAGTCCTAGGATGGCCTTCAGCTGCTCCATTAGCTTAATAAATAATGTGACTAAATGGAGTTTGATAAACACTGTTGCATGGTGCTGGCAAGCCCTGTTGAAAGGACATAATGCAAAAATGAAGTTGACGAGTATGATCTGAGTATCTGGTTCAGCTGATGATCACCAAGAGACAGGGTCACTGGCCAAAAGCTAATGCTGAAGAGTAGGGGGAAAACATAAAGTTCATGGGAGTTGTTGTTTTGCTGGATACTGGTTGTAAGGGCTTGCTAAGCCAGTCTACAGCATCCACAGGACTAGCTAATTATTCAGGATGCATAGCCAACTGTGCAAGAATATGACTTCTTCAGGGCACACATTACACTAGTGAATGGCAAACTGAATGATGTGGACTTCTCTGTTTACCCAGGGTGTGGAAAAAAGCAATTGTTACCCAGAATCAGCTTCTGAAAGTGTATAGTTAGAACTCCTCTATATGTCAGCAGCTTTGAACTCAATGTAGCATTTTCTGCAATGATGCAGGAGTGATACTGAACAAGGTAAAAAGGAGGAAGTACACCTGCTTGGCTTATGAGTAATAACATCCAAAGTAGGAAATTTAGTCCTCTTTGTTTTTGTTGGGTTTTTTTCATGTAATAAGAGGCAATAAATCCCCTATTTTAAAATAAGGAAAGACGGACAGTCGTTCTGATATAGCCAGGATTGCTGAAACAAACACATCATTGTAGAGTCTGAAGCATTTAAGCTTGAAAAAGGACAACACTTGATGAAAAGGCCATAAAAACAAAACGAAGAACTAAATGAAAAAAAACTTTTTAACTGGTTACAGTCACTTTGTTTTTGAAGCCGTACCTTTTTTATAATTTGTATTTTCCTGATTACATCAGTAAGTTATATGGGTCATAAAGAAGCAAAATATAATAAATGAAAATATAATCTGTTCTCTTTTATAAATTTCAGGAATGGCCTAAAATTAGAAAAGGTGAATTTCCAAAGGACTTCACTAACCGATTTTCATCAGAGGTATGGGGTTTTAACACATTATTTTAGTTGGTTTATATACTTACAAAACATTTTATTGAGATTTAATTTCTTTTTGCAGGCATCCATAATAAAAAAAATGCTTTCAAAAGACCCTTCAGGAAGATTTTCTGCATCTGAAATACTGGAGCTTTTAAAGCCTGTTCTTAGAGTCGATTCACGTGAACGTAATACGGTGTAACTGCCCTTTTAAAAGGCTTTCAGACTGTGTTGAAATCCAGCATTTGACAACTGATGACATCTGAAATTGATGAAACAACAGTAAATGTCAGAAGCAACAGCAAGGACTTGTCTTTTCCTTGGTGTTTTGCCTTCCTGCCATTGAAGAGCTTGTTAGATCATTGCATCACCATTCACAGCCAGCAACTGCAGACCAAGACAGTGTATTTCTGAAAGCAGTCACTTGTGATTCTTACCTGGAAGCTTGAACTGTATTGCGCAATAAGTATAGGAACCTAGTCCTTGTCTCCTAGAAGATTAAATTGATGTGGTGATAACTGGCCTGGGGCAAATCCCTATATGCATGCTCTTAATGCTACAGCCATTAACACTTGAGATTATCTATTGCTTTCCATGGAAGAAGTACTGTCTTGTGGTGACTCAGAACTTTCTGATTTGTTCAGTGATATTTTTAATAATGACTGGGATGCTCTCATTAATACGAAGACTAATTTTATTAGAAAATATACTAGAAATAGGTGTGGGTTATTCTTCACTGAATTTCAGTTAAGGTGAACAAAATTATCTTCCAAATCTATTGAATATGTAGCACCTTCAGTGCTCTAGAATGTAAAAAGACATACTTCTAAAGCAAGCCCTCCTTGACAGCGTTAAATGTTAAACATTCAGCTTCTAGGAAATGTAGTTTAGATTTGTTCTAAACTTTTGAAAACTTTCGATTTTGAAGTGTTTTTTATTTCGTTTTTCTTTCCTGAAAGGAACACTGAAGGTGTTCTTAATGTAGGAAAATTCTCCAGTTTCGTCAGTAGTCATGGAATTGTCAGAATTGGAAGGGACCTCTACAGATCATCCAGTCCAAGCCCCATGCTGAAGCAGGATTACCTAGAGCACTTTATTCAGGACTGCATCCAGAAGGGTCTTGATATTTCCAGAGGAGACTCCACAACCTCCCTGTTTCAGCACTGTCACCCTTCCTCTAGAGAAGTTTCTTCTAACATTTAAATGGAACTATGTTCGAGCTTGTAACCATTGCCCTTCATCCTGTCACTGAACTACTGAAAAGTCTGGCTCCATCCTCCTTACACTCACCCTCTAGATACTTGTAGGCATTAACACGGTCTGTCCTCAGCCTTCTCTTCTCCAGGCTGAAGAGTCCCAGCTCTCTCAGCCTTTCCTTGTAAGGGAGATGCTCCAATCCCCCAGTCATCCTTGTTGCACTCAACTGGACTCTCTAGTAGTTCCCTGCCTCTCTTGAACTGGGGAGCCCAGAACTGGATGCAGTATTCCAGATGTGGCTTCACCAGGACAGAGTAGTTTAAATCATATGCTGAGAGAGCACCTTAAATGTTCTCTACCATACTGCTAGGTTTTAATTCCTTATTGTAATACCAAGGCAAACCTAACCCTTAAGTTAACTTAACATTAAAGGTATTGAGTGCCTCTGAAGACCTTACTGTCAGGACCACAAAAGGTAAAAGCAGTTTGCATGTCACTTTTTAGTCACTGTTCCAGGAGTTCAGACTTGCCTGGACTGGAATAGTTATTTTTATATTCTTACGGATGTTACTGCTGATCTGTTGCAAGCTAAATAAAAATGTGATTTTCCCTATTACTGTGAAGCCTGAAATTGTTTTTTTTTCTCCTTGTCATGAATCAGTTACATAGAACATTTCACCATTCTGGACTAATTAGTATTTTTGTGCAGTGGTCAAGAACTGGGAGAAATTATATCCTGACACAGACAAAATACCACCAGTTGTACTTTCTCTTCCCTTTTACCCATAAAAGTACTCTTACAATATGAAAATGGGTATCTCACAGACTTAGGCTGAGTATCCTTTACAGTTCTTGGACAGAGCACCATTACCTTCTTATGTAATAATTAGGTTGTCCCAGTAGTTTTTCATACTTTTTATTTGTTGTATGTGTGTACTTCAGCAGTACCTTTCTGTTAGTGACTGTTTACAGTACCAACTGCTGTTCCCTAAAAATAAGCTGTCTATTCAAATTTAGTTTTTTATTAAAAAAAAAAACCACCCCAGTGACATGATCTGGTACTATTTAGTTATGCAAAATACACACCTTTACATATGACAAAACACTGGTTCAAATAATGCCACTGCACTGTTTCACAAATGTTTTTTTCCCCCTGGGTTTAAGATAGTAAGGAAAAAAAAAAAAAGTCTCATATTTATTCATTTCTGTAAAGGTGAAAAAAACCCGTATATAACACATCATACAACAGAGTAACTAGCCAGTACTCCCTTACTCAAACTTGAATTTTATTATTAGCTGATCTTGTTCCACTGGGCATAACCAAAGACTGTGGAATACTTAACCTGCCTCTCAATTATGGTAGTTCAATTATGAATGCAAAGTTTTAATTCCTAATAAATTGTGCATCAAGCAGGAAATGTGTAAGATGCTTCAGAAAGGTGAGTTTAATCTCAATGTAACTATTCTGCACACTTTGGTATGAATTCTTTAATACAGCACAGCTTCAAACCTTCTAAAATATATTATGAACTACACATACTTATCTAGGATTCCTTCCTTCAGAAAGGCTTTAGTCGTGATCAGCAGCACTGTCTCCAGGGCAGTTTGAAGATAAATCTTCAGAGTCTACAGGATAAGCAGAGAAAGTAATTCCAGCTCAAAGGATGGGAAAAATAAAGGTGCTAAAATAATTGAAGAATCCATGTAAAGCAGATAAAATAGAATTCAAGTTTGCAATGCATTAATTCCAAGCTTTATTTTAAAACTGAACACAAATTCTGTTATTTTTGGTGCACTGGAACTGGATAGTGTTCTGGTTCAGAAACATCTGCAAGCATTTGCAGTTTTTTGTGGTACTAATTTTAATATCTGAATTTTTTTAAACAAAATTAGTATGAATACCAATTCAAATAAACGCCAGTATGCTTGGTTGGCTCTTTTTTGGGTGAATGTATCACCTAAAAATTGGCTTATAATCAAAACCTGCAAAGCTTTGTACAAAAACCAGCAGCCTGGAAGGAAAATTTGCTATGGAGATGTGAAAGACTGCAGTAAGAGAAACATAAAGGACCTACTTGAGTTTATCTGCATAAGCAAAGGAAAACACATGACAGGTACCCTCACCTTCATAGGTTGTTCCACACCAAATGCAGTAGAAGTGTTGTTCTCTCAAATAGGCAGTCAGGATCTGTAGCTTTTCTGACACCTAGAGATATGTACAGGTGTGCAATAAGCTGAGGTGCGCATGGCATGGAACAGTTGGAGCTACTAGCTTTGCTAAAACAGATTGTTTAAACTTTTGCTATAGAAAAGCCACACGAAACTGTAGCTCAGTAAGGCATGTAGTTTTCCAAATCTTTATAGCATATGGCACAGGAATTAATGATCTCTGGAAAGTTGTTTGCTCATCCTTCTTTCCAGCTAAGAAACCTGCACAGAAGAGAGAGCTAAAAACATTATCGAGCTACCTTATTTAAATAATGTATTTTGGTGGAATTTTTCACACCTCATCTCTGCAAATCAGACATAAAAGGCTAAACAAACAGATGTGTAATCTAGTCTTCAAAAATGTGAATTTCCAGTGTCCATCTTGTGCTAATCTGAAAGCATTTTCATATATTTCTTAGTGATTCTAAAATTCAGTGTAAGACATGAAATGAGGCATCCAAAATTAAAACTCAAAAGCAAATCACTGATGAAATATGTAACCTTGCATATCATGGCTAAGACACAAAAACATTTAATTTCTAAGCTACTTTTTTCAAAGATCAGCTTCAAAACAGATGAGCAATTAATCAGTGGTTTTGCATTTTATCATGTAACTGCTATAAAAACTGCTGCTCTAAGATTGCCAAGAGGTCATTCACTACACCTTGGAAAGTTATATGTATACATTTATTCTTTATACATCCATACTATTTTAAGAAAGATTACATTTAATTATTTTAGTTATGGGACTTACACTTAAGTCTGAGCTTGTGCATGCATCTTCCTTGTCTTCCTCATCCTTTCTTTCTTCCTCTTCAGGTTCTATCCAATACCAAGTCTCCTTGGGAACATCAATACCCTTAAATAATGAAGAATTTAAATGAAAATTATCTGTCTCTGTAGGTTTTCTTGTAAGATGCTAGATAAAAATAATTTCTAATAGATGAAATGTTAGGTTTTAAAATGTTACTATACTGTATAATCAAGAATTGCTAGAGCTGTAGTGGAAAACTAACTACAGTGGTCAACAAGAAGGGTTACTCACTTTTTAGAAACAAGTAAATGCATGCTAGGATGAGTTCTACTCCATCTGTGTTCTGTATGTGAAAGGCAACATAATCCCACACCAAGGCTGTGAACAGATAACCCTTTTTTATCAGTTGAAGACATGCTGCCCCAAGTTATTTTATGAAAAGATCACACAGTGCTTCCTAATACACTTCAGGTATAGCTAAAGGAAGAAGAATCAACAAAGACAATGATCTAAGCTAATTCAGCCAGCTTAGTGTGAAGCAGACTTAGGAGCATCAAACAATGTCAGCAGAACTTGTGGGGGAGTATAAACCTCCCACTGGTTAACTGGAGAAAAATAAGTACATGAAGTTTTCAAGTGGCATAAATTTGCAGTAGTTCACTGCTATTACCCATGTTATTTCTTTGGAAATATTTTAGTTTGGGCTTGGCTTTTGTTTAAATGGTTCTTTGGCCAATCTGCTGATTCTCTCAGTGACCATCTCCATCCTTGGTGACACTGAAAAGCTGTCTGGACATGGTCCTGGACAACCTGCTTTAGGTGACCCTGCTCGAGCAGGAGTATGGAGAAAATGACCTCCAAAGCCCTGTCCAATGTCAACCACCCTGTGATGATGTTTCTCCCTCACTTGAGGCAAACTGTATGCTCATTTAGGACAGCCTGACACTGGCTACTGAAAGATAGGTGAACAGCTCAAAAGTGATCACTAGAATAAAGGAGGAAAACCAGGTGAGCTATGATGATGCAAATTAACATGGGTCCTTGTGTAAGTTACGATGAGGCTGGTGTACCCTTTCAAATATCTTAATGGAGCGAACATATGCTTTGAAATATTTGAAGAAGATTGAAGTGACATCAAGACTTCAGGCTAGTTATCTAACAATTTTAGAGAACTTTGAAGAAATGAATCACTACTTTGTTTGTAGCCTCTATCTCTGACCTATACACTTTCCTTCCAAGCCCAAAACCCGTAAGTCTCACATTCTGCGTATCCAATTGCTGGCAGGCCCTCTGGCTTTTTCGGAGGTCCCCTTCCATCTTACGTTCTTCTTGTTTGTTTTTGAATCTTACTCTGTTAAGAAAAAGCAGACAGCTAAAATGAGCAGGCAGACAAACAGTGAGACAGCTTTTCTAAAATACAAAATTTAAGATTCTAGCCCTACTAATTCTCTCACACCAGGACAACATTGAAAGTTAAGTCCTTCTGATATTGTTTCCGTGGAAGTGCACATGTATTTAATTGGATTTATACCTTCAAGACAGTGCTTTTTTGATCACACTGCACTGCACATTCTTTCTTTACCAGGTTTTCGTAATATATGAAAAAGTGGTTCACTAAACATCTGTAAAGGATACAACCTACCCTAGGCTCCACATCTAACAAGGCAATCAGGAGAAAATAAAAATAGTTAAGACCTAAACAAACTTATCCTGATTTTTAAAACCATTGTAGCAACATTGCTCAGGATTATCTGTGTATTTTATGCTAAAAAAGATTACACAGATCTATTTCATTAAAAAGTTGAAAATTACCTGAAGTCATCTGCAGCTTGTTCATTTGCTTGTTTTTTCATGTGGAGTTTTTGTCTATAGTTTTCCAGTTTTTCTTCAGCTTTTCGCTTCTTTAATTCATCATGACCAAGCCCACTTCTGCCTAGATAAGATTAAAAGATGAATGTAAGCAACTGAGAAGCTCTGATATCCAACTAAGTTAATTAGGAAGTTTCACAAACCTGTTTTTATGTTCAGAGGAATAGGTTCAACAATGCCTTCTCCTGTAAGGAAAAAAATAGGTCAATTTAAGAAATACAATCTTTCTCAAACTTAGATTTGTGTGGTAAATTCAAGCAGGCAAGCTGATTGGCCATTAAATATGTACATTTTTTTGTGATTTCATTGCTTGGAAGTTTAAAAATCCCAACTCAGTGCACACTTAGTGCACTGCAAATGACCCAGCTGAACTGGAACTCCTTCTCTTTTTCGGCTTGTCTGCTGATAGATTTTTCAGGATGCTACCCAACTGAATCAAAATGGTGTTGACTTGACAGGTATAAAATACCTGTGATGAAGACTGCTTTCTTACAGCCTTCTGTAGCATTTTTAATTCTAGAATCTCACAACCTGACAACAATGTTAAGATTAACAAGAATCTTTTTGGGCCAGTTCATTTGCTGATTGTCTGTCTGCTAGAGACACGCTGAACGAGCACAGCAGTTACTGATGCTTTGTTTTGCCTCATGTATTAAGGCTTCTCCTATAAGGGTAAACCAGTGTGCACTACTTTGTCTTCACAATCCAACCATAAATTCAAAGAGTGGGCTTGACTTTTTTTGGAACACTATTAGCTCTGCAAGACCATCAGACAATGACGAATGCAATTCCCGCAGATATGGATGCGCATTTACCGAGCGGCAAGTACTGCTGCTTCCCTCACATCTCTTAACAGCCCACACCATTTTTATTTCGGGTTTTAGAGATGTGCTCTCATCTTTTGTTCTGCCACAACACGTTCACAGCTCAGTAATGCTGGGTTTTGTCAGAAAAACATGTATTGACCTTGTCTACAAACGAAGCGGCAGCTACAGCCTGTACAATACGAAAGCACGCCCGAATGCAGGCACACACTTCCAGTGACAAGCTTACCACTTCTGCCAAGGGCCTGGCCACTCTTGTAGCCCATCTTCTGGAGCAAGGCAAAGCCTTTGTTCTCATTGCCTAACGCGCTTTTCAGCACTAAGTCACGTCTCTCTTTTTCTTCTTCTTTTATACTCTTTTGTCTGTTCTTCTCATTGGCTTCTTTTTGCTTCTCTTCCTTCTGAATAGCTTCTTTCACCCGCCTCACCATGGGCAAGCCTGGCCTTACGTCCTGCCTACGAGGTAATAATTCCAGCCACTATTAGCACTTTCGGTTACACGTTTACAATCTCGTAACAGGGGAAAAGACAGCTACCTACTTACTTAATAAACAAATCGGACATGTAGTCCTCCTCTTCATCTTCCTCCATCTCCAGCACGCATGTCCTGCTCCGACCCCTCCCCGATAACCACCGTCAATGCCCTTTACCGCGCATATTCCTCTGCAGATGACCTGAAATGCAGAATCCGCAAGAAAAAACTTGCCGCCAAGGGCTGTCGGGACGCGGCGGGAGGCTGAAGGAGCACGGTGACGATGGCCCAAAACAAGGGAGCCCGGTGGGCGCCGGGCCGGGCCGGGCCGCCCCCTCCCTCGG